TAACTTCAGTTTTGCTACTGTTATGAATTCTAAATATCAGATGTACAGAATATCAGATAGGCAACCCCTATAAAAGGGTTGTTAAACCCCCAAAGAGGTCTCAACCCACAGGTTAAGAACTGATGCTCTCGGCCAGGCAGTGGTGGTACACGCCTTTAATCCCAGCACTTGGGAGGCAGAGGCAGGCGGATTTCTGAGTTCGAGGCTAGCCTGGTCTACAGAGTGAGTTCTAGGACAGCCAGGGCTACACAGAGAAACCTTGTCTCAAAAAACAAAAAAAAAAAAAAAAGAAAAAGAAAGAAAGAAAGAAAGGAAGGAAGAAAGGAAAAGAAAGAAGGAAGGAAAGAAAGAAAACTGCTGCTCTAAGGGAAGCTCACTGAACAGCAAAGAAACAGTTCCTCCTCGTTTTGCACATAATGGCCTGAGAACTGAAATATCCCCATGGTCAGCTAAGTCTTCTATTCATCACTAAGCCCACAACAATGAGAATCAAATTTGTCATCTGAGAAAGAAGTGAACTTCAGACCAGAAAAGACTTTGATGTCTTTCTGAGGATCTTCTCTCCACGCTGTCAAAGTCTCCGAGACTGGTAATCCACCATACCTTGCTTGCCTTTGGGCAAGTACAGATTTTTCAAGAGATTAATGACTAAACCCATCTACGATTACTTTCTTCAGCTGCCTCGGGGCATTTCATCATCAGTACTGTGCTAGGTAAGGGAAATACTACAGAGTACAGAGGAAACTTACATTTTGGGTTTCTATAAAATGATATGAAATACACCACTCCTTAATGTGAAGTGATCTTCTATTATCATCTTCTTTGCTAGAAAAAGAAGAGTCCACTATTCTCTGCAGGTAAGGGACTTGGAAGTGGTAACTGTGAAACTAGTAAAAAGCTGGTCAACTGTCACAGCTGGGAGAGTTCTGACCAACGTTCTGCCTTTAGGCAGTGTGAAGTTATACCTTTAGGAACATCCTTCAGGTCCCGGTACCAGGAGATTGGAATCCCAGACTTTGTGACACCTTTCATGTACACCAGGGATTCAGCATCTCTCTCCAAAGGGACCTTCTCTTCAGTCAGTGTCAATGCTTGAATCTCACTTAATTTTTGGCTCACCTCTACAAGGTGTATTGAAATGTCACAGGTTTTTAGCACAGACCCAAGCTGATTGAAAACCTAAAACAAAAAGAAGACTGTATCTTAATTACTGTTCTGTTGATGTGAATAGACTCAATGGCCAAGACAACTTAGAAAAGAAAGCATTTAACTGGAGCTTCATTAGTTTCAAAAGGTGAGTCCAGGGCCATTATGTTGGGGAGTATGGTAGCAGGCAGGCAGACATGACGCTGGTGCAGTGGCTGAGAGCTTACATCTTATCTACAAGCTGGAGGCAGAGAGTGGGCATGGACCTGGTGTAGGCTTTGGAAAACATTAGGCCCATCCCCAGTGATATATCTCCTCCAATAAGGCCACTTCCTTATCTTTTCCAAAACAGTTTTACCAACTAGAGACCAAGCATTCCAAGGTATGAGCCTGTAGGGCCCAAAGCAGCACACACTGGCAAACACAACGTGTCAAGTAGAAGGGGTTTCTGACTGCTCACCACAACCATTTAGTTGAATCACAACAAAGATTTACCCCTGACCCAGGTCATTCTCCAGTAACATGTAAGAACCACACCTATTAGAGTTAATAAGCATCATCTATATAAGAAATAAATTATAATATGCCTTCAGAGTAACAATTTACTAATAAAAATAAAAAGATTTAGCATCCACACAATGTTTCAGATCAAGTACTCTAAAAAAGTCCAAGAAAATAAAATGTATACAGAGTTGGTTTAATAAAGCCTGGGTGTCTATTAAAGAACTGTCTGGGGACATGAATTAGAAAGTAGGACTGAAAACCCAGATTAATAAAAATTGCAAACTAGTTCAAAAGCAGAAAGGTTAACCTATGGGACTTAAGAGACATTCTTTATTAATTACTTACCCTCAAAATATCTGCTGTGAGGGTACCCCGACCTGGACCAAGTTCCACCAGCTGGAATGCTGTACTTTTCCCAGAGGCTATCCATTCACTAATGAACCACACTCCTAGTAGCTATGATAAGAAAAAACATTAAAGCATTATACCATAAAACTCTACATAAATACATACTTTATACCAAAAGCAAAACATTTACAAATAATTCAATATAGGTTATTGGACATGCATATATACACACAGATGCACACAGAGGGAGACAGATACACATGCACACACACACAGACATCAGAATGCACTAGAACTTCACTGGGACTATCAGGACATATACTGCACAGGAAGCTTACTATCAGGGCCAAGCCTCAAGGCACAGAGAAGCAATCACTACTTATTTGTGATTCGGGAAACAGAGAAAGCTACTAGAGTTTGGGGACAAAAGGACACAGAACATTTATGCCATCTCCTCTTACTCATGATTTCCACTATTACACAACCCTTAAATATAATTTACTTTCTCAAGCCTAGATCCCACTTCTGTTTATGTCCTATGTCCTATTTTTAAGTCATCAAAGGTACTTTTAGGGAAGTAAGTGAACCGCAACTGTTTCTTACAGGGAGACCCCACTGTAACCTGCTTAAATCATAGCTGGCAATTCTCTCTCTCTCTCTCTCTCTCTCTCTCTCTCTCTCTCTCTCTCTCTCTCTCTCCCTCCCTCCCTCCCTCCCTCCCTCCCTCCCTCCCTCTCTCTCTCTCTCTCTCTCTCTCTGTCTCCCATCCCTGGCCCATCACATTGTTCATGGTTTTCTTTTTCTAAAACTTTTTCTATTTTTTTTTTTTGGTTTTTCCGAGACAGAGTTTCTCTGTGTAGCCCTGGCTGTCCTGGAACTCACTCTGTAGACCAGGCTAGCCTCGAACTCTGGAACTCAGAAATCCGCCTGCTTCTGCCTCCCAAGTGCTAGGATTAAAAGCGTGCACCACCACCGCCCGGCAAACCTTTTCTATCTTCTTTTGTCCTTCACATATCTCCACTTCTTTTTCTATAGTGAAATCTGAGTTTTTCAAATGTTCTCTCCACCATTTCCTCTAAAATTTTAAGTATTTGATAAATCTCACACACACATACACACACGGGGGGGGGGGGGGACACTGTTACAGATGAGCATAGCTTGGTCCACTCTCAAGTATCTATAACATGCATTTCTTTTATGGTCTACATGTTGGATATTACCTCTCCGAAGATTTGACTTATTTCAGGTGAAGTGATAAAGTCTCCTTTTTCTCCTAGCATATCATGATGCACATAATATCCCTGAGTAGAAGAGAGAAAATGGAAAAGATTAATTTTCAAATAAGGCTTTCAAAAGTACTCCTCTAAAATGTTACATAATACATACATTGAAGTAACTGTTTACCAAGAAAGTTCTCTCTTCTGAAACAACCAAGAAAAGGACAGCGTCTTTGCCTACATTTGACATGGTAGTAGTCATTTTGCAAAACTCACAGAAGAGCAATTACTCAAGTAGAAGGACTGCAGACATGCAGTGTTCTTCCCTCCACTCCTTGCCCTCCCACTCCCAGTCAGCACGGTAAGGTTCTCATCCTTACAGCCTCCTCTCCCCACTTAGTCCTGCCTGTTGCTGATGGTCTTCTTCAGGTTTTCTTGACCATCATGCAACGTAAATGTGGTTTGTGTGAAGATCCACCCATGAGTTCATGAGACAGAGAAAGAGAGAGCCATCCAACTATATACCAGTGACTTACACAACATTCATGATTGATGTATCTCAATAAAAAGGTAGGTTTAAAACAATGGCCCTGCTTGTCTATACTTCCATCTCAGTGCAAACTCTCACTTTCTTCCCATTTTAGTTCTTCCTGGGATCCATCTGTACCTGTTCAGTCTATTCAAACAGCATCTTCACAAACTTCTCTCTCCAAAGACTTCCAACCCAAAACTAAATCCAGTGCTTTTTTTATGACAACGATTATATTTCTTACAAGGTTTAATTATCTGAGAAGACTTTGTCTTATCTTCATACCCCAAGTTTTACCATAATGCTTAGCCTTCAAGAAAGACTCAAAGCTTTCTTATAGCCAGGCAGGTGTAGATCACCTAGAATCCCAACACTCAGGAGGGTAAATAAGAAGATGCTGCAAGTTCAAGGTCAACCTTATAAAGATAGCGTTTCCCTTATGGCAAGGAAATACACAGCCCAGTTAGAAAATCATCATTCCTTTAACTCGGGAAATTCAAACTACACTCTGTCACTTAAACACCGCAGAAATTTGTTGTGACCTCTTTTTTGGCACTGCCCTTTAATGCAACCTGATCAGATGACAGATTAAACTACATTCCAAGGACTTCGGAGGTGGCTCATCCCTTGACAGCTCTGGAGACCTTCGGGCTCCTCTCTGTACACACTCGTCGTACCCTATGTTTACCTTGGCTGGGTTGGTCAAAACCTCCTTCATGTACTCGGCCACAGTGATGGGACCTGTAGATTTTATTTTATACATAAGATGCCGCAGCATCGGAGTCACCCGGTTGTTTTCTGCCGGCTCATTCCCGGAGCTGAAGCATTTCCCTCTCCAAATACAGGGAGTGCCTGAAAAACACGATTAAGCTCTCCCGCATTAGAAATCTCCATTTCATTTACACGCTCAGCAAAAAGTTTAGAGCTTGCAAGGCTGCCTAGCTCATCACTAACTTCGCCCCAATGTCAGAACCCCATGGAGGCATGCATTGAACCCATGACTACAAGCCCCTCCACACAGGCAAGCCTCTCTGCCGACCGGCTTCCAGCCCCAGGAAGCAACTGAGAAACTAAGGAGCCGCGCCACGCGGTTTCCATGGAAACAGGATTCTGCAAGAGGCCTCTCACCCGCGCGGGCCACGCAGCGTCTCACTAAAGCATTCATTCCTACCACCTCAGGGCCAGGCTCCGCCCCGGAGGCGGAGTGGAAAGGTATTTCCTGATTTGTCTCCTCAATAGGAAGTGCGTCACCGGAAAGTGGAAGTAAGCTACAGGCTGCGCTCGCGTGTCCAGTCCGCAATGTCGGCGGACCAGGAACCTTTAGAGTTCCTTGCCAAGCAGCCCTGGCGTCCCAAAGAGGTGACAGAAGATCCAGACGAAGAAGACGAGGAGGCAGAGCATGGCTTCTCTCTGGAGGAGGTGTTACGCCTCGGAGGCACAAAGGTAACGGCCGCAGGCTCTGGGGAAGGGGATGCGCACGGCTGCCGGGAGTGTGGGACCCGCAGCCCAGCCTCCGACTTGTTCTGAGCGTTCCCACACTTTTACTTTTGCCGCTCTTAAGTGGAAAAAACAATTCTGATTGCATGTTTTTTCCTGTGTTTATGCTTCGTTAAAATGTTGGCGATCTAATTCTAACCACGTGGACAAATGTTTTGAACGCTACTGTATGTGTAACTGAAATCTGCTTGGTTAAAAGGTAAATAAATGCCTTATAGGTTGGATTGAAGTCGCTAAATGGACCTGCCAGTTTACGTTTGCCCTTTGTGAAAGTGCCTTTTCCATCCTACGTTACCTCATAAATTAGTTTTTAGTATTGGAAGGAGTGCTTGTATGTTTGTTGGTACAGTCGTGTAAGTCAGAAGACAATTTAGGAATCGATTCTCTCCATTTTGTGCGTTCCGAGGATCGAACCTAAGTACTAGGCTTGCTTGGCATGGACTTGACCCACTGAGCCATCCCCCTGTCCACTCATATAATAAACCTTTAACCTTATTCACCCGACGCATTACAGTGCATATATCATTGTGATTTTCATTGGATTTTGTGACTATTAGCTTGAGCATATTTTCGTATCTTGAGGAAGGTTCTTCAAAAACCTTTTCCCTATGATGTACATATCTTTTGCACATTTTCTTATTGGATATCTGTGAGTTTGCCGGATAATAGTTTAATAATTCAGATGTAATGGTTTTTAAAGATTAAGTTCTTACTGAAGTTCTTGTTTTTTGTTTTTTGTTTTTTGGGTTTTTTTGGTTTGGTTTTTCGAGACAGGATCTCTCTGTGTAGCCTTGGCTGTCCTGGAACTCACTCTGTAGATCAGGCTAGCCTTGAACTCTTGAACTCAGAGATCCGCCTGCCTCTGTCTCCCAAGTGCTAGGATTAAAGGTGTGCGCCACCACCGCCTGGCTAGTTCTGGGTTTGTAATATGACTTTTTTAATATGTTTCTGCAGCAAGATTACCTTATGCTGGCTTCTTTAGACGAAAATGAGGAAGTGGTGGATGGAGGCAAAAAGGGAACCATTGACGACCTTCAACAAGGTGAATTGGAGGCATTTATTCAGAATCTGAATTTGGCCAAATACTCAAAGTCTTTGATTGAAGAGGATGAACCAGATAAAAAAGAAAGTGCCAGCAAAAAGGAAGCAAAACTTCTGAAGGTAGAGAATAAAAAACAAAAAGCAACAGAAGGAAAAAAGACATCAGAAAAGAAGGTGAAAAATAAGACTGTACCAGAGCAGCGTCCTGAGAGCAGCACCGTCTCCAAAGCAAAGAAAGATAAACAACCTGATGTGTTTGAGTTTCTAGAGAGACAAACACTGTTACTCAAGCCTGGAGGCAAGTGGTACGACCTGGAGTACAGCAGTGAGCATTCCTTGGAACCCCAGCCTCCAGATGTTGTGTCCAAGTACAAAGCCCTGGCCCAGAAGCTGTATGAGCAGGAAGTCGCCTTATTCAAGAATAAAACAAATAATCAAAAGGGAGGCTCTTCCACCTGGATGAAGGCAATCGTGTCATCGGGAACACTGGCGGACAGGATGGCAGCCATGATCCTTCTGATCCAGGATGATGCTGTTCACACACTCCAGTTTGTAGAAACCCTCATGAACCTTGTTAAAAAGAAGGGCAGCAAGCAGCAGTGCCTCATGGCTTTGGATACGTTCAAGGAGTTGCTCATTACAGACCTTCTGCCAGACAGTCGGAAGCTCCGGGTTTTCAGCCAGCATCCTTTTCACAAGCTGGAAGAGTTGTCCAGTGGCAACAGGGACTCAAGAGATAGAAGACTGATCCTGTGGTATTATGAACACCAACTGAAACACTTGGTAGCAGAATTTGTTCAGGTCCTAGAGACTTTAAGTCATGATTCCTTGGTAGCCACTAAAACGCGAGCTCTGGTGGCTGCTCATGAGCTCCTCTGTGACAAGCCTGAGGAGGAAAAGGCTCTTCTTGTTCAGGTGATAAATAAGCTGGGAGATCCTCAGAACAGAGTTGCCACCAAAGCCTCCCATCTGTTAGAGGTGTTACTTCGGAAGCATCCCAACATGAAAGGAGTCGTGTGTGGAGAAGTGGAAAGGCTACTCTTTCGCTCAAATATCAGTCCCAAAGCTCAGTATTATGCAATTTGCTTTTTAAACCAAATGGTCCTCTCCCATGAAGAAAGTGAGTTGGCTAACAAATTAATAACTCTTTATTTTTGTTTCTTTCGGACTTGTATCAAGAAAAAAGACATTGAATCAAAAATGCTCAGTGCCATTTTAACAGGCGTGAACAGAGCATACCCTTATTCCCAGATAGGCGACGACAAAGTGAGGGAGCAGGTGGACACTTTGTTCAAAGTGCTGCATGTTGTAAATTTTAATACTAGTGTGCAGGCTTTAATGCTACTTTTCCAAGTAATGAATTCTCAACAGACAATATCTGACCGCTATTACACAGCTCTGTACAGGTAAGTGCATGAATGTGGTGAGAACTTGGCTGTGGTGTAGCATATATAGTATAGGGTAAAAGGTGTGTCTTTATATGCATATATAGGTACACATATGTATGTATGTACCTATATATGTATACATACGTCCTCAGATTTCACATAGGCACCCTCAGCAACTGAGTATTCACCAACTTGGGCACATGACACTTTGCTACATTTGTTTTGTCTTACTGGATAGTAAGGAACAAGAACCAGAGGTGTGATTGAAATTCTCTCTCCCCAGTATACTCATTCTAAATCTCCCTCCAGTTCTTCATACAGCTGTTCAGTAATTCATTCAAAAAGTATTGTTTGTTTGTTTGTTTGTTTGTTTGTTTTTTAATTTTGAGTGCTTATATCTGCTGCCCATGTTCTGGGCAAGTGAGATCGTGAGATATGGCACTGTCAACAAACATCCCACCCCTGCAGACCCTCACTGGGAGTATGCTAAAGACTGTGTGTTAGGAGGGCCTGGGTCCAGGCTTTGATTTGCCTGTGTTGTGCTTTTTCAGCCTTTAGGATTGGTTTGTTGAATCACACAGCTGTCCCCATATCTCATCAAGACAAGTAGTGCTAACAGTGTAAGCACTTTGGATCTGCCTTACATATGCCAGCAAGCTGTGTTGAGGAAACTTATCTATTCTTTTCTTGTTTGTTCTTTTATTTTTTCAGACAGGATCTCACCATTTAGCCTTGATTGCTCTGAAACCCGTAGAGATCCGCCTGTCTCTGACTACTGAATGCTAGGATTAAAGGCATGTTCTGTAATACCTGGCCTCTAATTTGTTTTTGTTTTTTGGTTTTTGGGTTTTTTACAGTTGCACATCTGTCTAACTTATGAAGGAAATTGTAAAGTAATGATTAATAGTTTAGAATAATTACAATGATTTGAATCCCAGGAAGTAGTTTGCCATGTTAAAATTGGGTAGATTATTTAATTCTCATTAAAACCCTATTGGTAACTTGATAAACCTCATTTTTTTTTACAGTATTTTCTTAGTAAAATGCAGGGATGTGCATCTATCTCATGGCCTGATAGTCACATTAGGAAACATGTCCTAAGTTTCAGCTACTGAATGATAAAAGTGGAACCTTACAGAGTAAAGCTGTAGGGCCAGTGAGGTAGCCCAGGGGATAAAGGGCCTTACTGACAGGGCTGCCAGCTTGTGTTTAGTCCTCAAGACCCACATGGTGGAGGGAGAGAACAAACTCTCAGAGTTGTCCTCTGACTTCCATAGGCATACACACACATACTATAATTTCCAAGAGCTGTATAAGGGAAAAGCTTTACTTGGGATAATTAATGAAGGCTTTAGTCAGTGCCTGATTGGACCCCTCATTTAGGAAGCCAGCATATGGAGGAAGCTTGTAATAGAACAGTCTGATTCCTTTGATCCTTGGGAGAAAAGGCAGGAAAACTGAGGACTCAGAGTTTAGGAAACTGCGGAACATAAACATAAGACTGAGACTATTAGAAGAACTGAACCTGTTTTAGGTACTGTTGCCATGCAGAGGATGTTTTGGACTGGGGCGGTGTGTATGAAGGAATACTTTTGTAGTCCATTGGGTCACATACTAAGGACTCAGAATTTCCTTTTTCACTACTCATATGTGGTCTACACGAGAGTAAACAAACACATGAAGGAGGCTGCTGCCCTGCTCACCTCGAGAGTAAACAAACACACACTCCCCTCTCATCTACTGCTTCGCAGGTGTCAGTTTGTATTGTTTTGTTAGCAGCTCACTGTGTAGCCCTGGCAAGCCTTGAATTTGCTATGGAAATCAGGCTGGCCAAACTTAAAAGGTGCCTGTCTCTGCCTTCCAAGAACTGGTTAAAAGCAGATTGAGTGAGTGTCAATTTTTATTAATTGACATGTATGTAACCTTTCAGGTGGGGTCTGTATCAGAATAAAAAATAATTGAGAAAAAACTCACAAAACAAGTGGCTCTTACCTGATGATTAATTATTATTATTATCCTTTGTAGCAGTGTGTCCTTTCTTTTGGGGGTCATTGATTCTCACTTTATCTGATAAGACTGAAATAGCTTCTCATTCTAACGTATGCAGGAAATGTATCCCTAAGATGAGGTTGTTGTAATTGGTTGTGGGGTTTCTAGACTGTGACTGCTGGATGTGAAGATGACTTTAGGAATGAATTTTTGACCTTGATTTCATTTTACAGAAAGATGTTGGATCCAGGCTTGATGACATGTTCCAAGCAAGCAATGTTTCTCAACCTGATCTACAAGTCTTTGAAAGCTGACATCATGTTGCGCCGGGTGAAGGCTTTTGTGAAGAGGTTGCTTCAGGTTACCTGCACACAGATGCCGCCATTCATTTGTGGAGCGTTGTATCTTGTGTCTGAGATCCTTAAAGCAAAACCAGATTTAAGAAGCCAACTAGATGACCATCCGGTGTGTTCTTTACTGCTTCCTGACCCTAGTGGGTGCTGGGGTGCTGGCTGGCGGCTTTTGTGTGTGTGTTCCTTTACTGACAGTAACTTAGTTTCTCTGGAGGGTGTTACAGTGTAAGTTCTAGAGTTGGAAGGAGCTAGACTTCACTGCCAGGTGCACGGCTAAATAGCTGAGCAGGTCCCTTGACTCCTCCATTTATAAGAAACTGCACCACAATAGAAATCGCAGTCATGGGTGATTACAGGATGCGTAGATCCTTGCCGTCTGTTTCCTCAGTTATGACGTGGAAATAAACAGTAATAGCACCTGTCTTTGTGGTTTATAACACGGCAAAATGTTTGAGGATTCAGTTCTAGAATCTCGTGGCTCAGAGCTTGGCTCTCTCGTGTTTAAGAAGAGAGTACAATGTTTCACCTGAGTGGCAGTCAGGACTAGAGTGTATTCACCTTTTACCAGAAATGAAGTGAGTCCTTGAAACACTACAGCACATAAAGGAATACAGACTTCATTGCAATTCCTGTTGATTAACAGAATTGTTGCTGCAATTTGTTAGGAATCTGATGAAGAAAACTTCATTGACGTGGGGGATGACAGCGACGATGAAAAGTTTACTGATGCAGACAAAGAAACAGCAACAGATGCAGTGAAGGAAGTGGAGGCGAAGGAGACGGAGCCTGGGGGCAGTGCAGAAACCGAGAAACCAAAGGCCGCTTCCTGGGTGCACTTTGACAACCTGAAAGGTGAAGTCCTTTGTCTTGTCCCCTTGAACTTTTAAAAGAAAAGAATTCATTTCCTCTCCTTGAGCGTGTATGTGTGTGTGTGTGTGTGTCTGTGTGTGTGTGTCTGTGTGTGTGTGTCTGTGTGTGTGTCTGTGTGTGTGCGTATGTCTAGATGCTGGAGGTAGAATCCATAACCTTTGTGTGTGCTGAACAAGTGTTGAACTACATTTACAACCATGAAGTGAGATTTTAATGGTAGGGAATCACAAACAATCTTTTTAACAGAATTACATGTTTTAAATAAATCTTGGAAATCAAGCAGATGCCTTTAGAGCTGTGGGAATTCTTTGAAAAACAATAAAATGCTATGCACTGTGAATCATTAATTTCCATTCTAAATAAGAGAGTTTAAGCCTTATTGAGCCTCTAATCAAAGCACATAAAGGCACCCAAGTGTGGTTCACATGAAGTTTGATTTCTGAATGGAACTGTATTTGATCACAGCTCTGTGACTTCTTTTGGTTTTTGTATGGCTATCATATTCATCTTTTACAGTTTCTTAACAGAAAGTTTTTTATTCATTTTTTATTATGTGTATATGTGTTTAGCCTGTACATATGCCTGTGTGCCATGTGAATGCCTAATGCCCAGGAGGCCAGAAGAGAGCGTTGAATACCATGGAACTGGAGTTACAGACAGTTGGGAGCACCATGTAGGTGATAGGAATCGAACCCAGGTCCTCTGGAAGTGCAGCCAGTGCTCTTAACTACTGAGCCATCTCTCCAGCCCCTTAAAGCAAGTTTTTAAGGTAGATCCTCCTAGAAATAGAAGCCCTAAGTAACTGTATACACAGACCCCAGAGGAAAAGAAGTCAGTTAATGCAATATTAGAGCCAAAAGAAAGCTTAGAAATGCAGTCTTTATCTGAGGCCACAAAGAAGAAGATCACTAGCCTCGAACTGAGGAAGGCAGTGTCAGAACCGGTTCTTTAAGAACTCATGGTTAAAGTAGTCTAGCTTTAAGTATCCATTTAGATACATTAAAGAAAATCCTAGTAGTCAGAAGGGAAGTTCTTAAAAGGATTTCTCTGTTTGAAGCACAAGCTGTTGTCCTGTAGGAGGATGGCAAGCTTGTGCTAGGGCTATATAGCTAGTAGTGGATTTTAAAAACCTTGCTGGGCCAGTGAGACAACTCATCCAGAAAAGGGAAGGGTACTTGCTCCATAGCCTAATGGTCTGAGTTCAATCTCTGGGTCCCAGATCTTAATTGGATGGACACCTGGCTCCTAAATACTGTTTTCTGATCTCCACATGCAGCCTTGTGGCACTTGTACACACTCACACAAGAAAAAGTAGAAAGGAAAAGTAAGTCTCTTATTTTGGGGTTTCTGCAAGCATACAAATCTGTTCCAAGAAAAAAAACTTCCTGAATGTAGCCTAGTAGTAAGGATTTAGAACACTGCGGCTCTGAAATAGTCTAGACCTAGTCCTTCAGGTTATGTCCATCTTACCTATTTAACACTAGTTTTCTTAGCACTTTCTCTGGCTGCTTGAGAACTACTGAAGAGATCAGTCATTTGGAAGGTGGGGCCAGTATATTACAAAGTTTTTTGTTTTGTTTTGTTTTGTTGTTTTTCGAGACAGGGTTTCTCTGTGTAGCCATGGCTGCCCTGGAACTCAGCCTGTAGACCAGGCTGGCCTCGAACTCAGAAATTCGCCTGCCTCTGCCTCCCAAGTGCTTAGTGCTGGGATTAAAGGCGTGCGCCACCACTGCCTGGCACAAAGTTTTTTCAGGAAAAAATGTTTCGAGTAGACGGACATCAAAATAAATTGTTGAAGGGACTTGACATTTTAAGTCTAGTGTTGGATGACTGGACTACTAGCAGTTTTGAAGATGGGGTCTTTCTGTGAGAACAGTAGTTGTAATAGTTTTGAAGTGTCTTTCTGAGATAGGAATAAAGCATTTCAAAAATCCTGTGTTCTTAGGTGGCAAGCAAAAAAAGACGTATGATCCATTCAGTAGAAACCCTTTATTCTGCGGAGCTGAAAATACAAATCTTTGGGAGCTCAGAAAGGTAAAATAATTTCAACTACTTTTTAATTCGTTTGTGACACATATTCTTGCTTTCATGGATTTTAACACATTGAAACTTGGCTTGCAAATGATGAACAAACAAATATGAAAGTACACACTGACAGAAACTTAGTGTGGTGTGTTCATTTTATATTCTAGAAACTTTTAACTGATATGCATGTAAATAAAAATACCACACCTAGCTTACAAATAAGAATGTGATTGTTGCACATGGCTCTCTAACATGTCCTGCCATTGTGTGAGAATAGAAATCTCTTACTGTGTTACTTTATAAGTGAAGAAGAGGAATTAGGTTTCTAATACCCTCCTGTGATCAACAGACAGTGAGTTATTCTTGAAATGTGAGTACAGATGCTCACAGTACTCCATTGAATCTGCACAGTCACGGCTACTGTCCTGGTAATGCCAGTGTGTCTTTGTCAGTCTGTCACTGTGTTAGCTGTAGCAGTGATGAGACAAAGGAAGACGGGAACTGCTGGTGCCCTGATACAAGTAAAGCCGGTGCGTTTGTAGCCATTACCTCCGTTATAGTCTTCTCTGCGTGTTCTTGGGGTAAATAAAGGAAGGGGGAAAACCAGGGTCACTTGGGAATGATACAGCTTTCATTATTGACCTTAAATACATGCCAGTGTTCCCTGTGTCAATGGAAAGTCCACATTCCCACTCCTGCTGTGCACCTAAGTGTGGCAGTTGAACTATGTCAAAGGCAGAACTTGGTCAGTTGTTCCTGATCCGTGGAGCTGTATCCTGATAGACTGACTGGCATACTGCGATTCTTTTACTTGGAGCAAAACCTACTGATAGTACCTGTAGTCAGTAACAGAATTCATCCTCAAGCAGTGCCTCGGGATCACTCATGCCTCTCTACAACACTGGCTGATACAGTTAGTGTGCACACTAACAGTGCAATTCTGTGCAATTCAGAAGAAGTACTCTACTCAGTGACCCGTGTTCAGTGTTCATAATTCACATGTGGGTACGGCCTACATATTCATAGAGGACCAGTTAACTCTAAGTACCTAAGGCCATTTGATGTGGTTGATTCCACCTGTAAATTCATTTTTTCTTTTGGTATAGCATCAAAGAAGAAAATCCACACTTTGGTGAAAGACCTATTAACTCCTTTTGTAACCACAGATCTGTTTGAGGCTAGGTTCTCTTCCCATGTGCTCAAATAGTTTAAAATACTGGGAAAGATTCAAAATGCATTGCATTTGAATTGCACCTAAACACAAAGGAGGTTTTGAAAGTTAACTAATATTTCACAATTAGTTAATGCTTCTTAATTTTATAATTTTTGTTCTGAAATATACTTACTTTCCATGAACATTACAGTAACATGTGGTGGTATGTTATTTTTTTTTATTTTCGTTTTATGTGTATATTTTGCTTACATGTATATAAGTATACCCACTTGCATGCCTGGTTCTCAGGAAGGCCAGAAGAGGCTGTCAGATCCCCTAGATAGAATTGGAGTTACAGGCAGTTAAAAGCCAGTATGTGGGTGCTGGGACCTGAACTCAGAACCTCTCCAAGTACAACAAGTGCTCTGAACTGCTGAGCTCTCTCCAGCCCCTCGATCTATTGATCTAAATGAGCTACAAGCATTTAAATTTTTCTTGTTGTAATTTCTAATAAAGTACATATAAAAATAAACTTCTTACATTTTCAGATTTTTAAGTGCACACATGGTTTGGAAACCAAATGTTTGAGAATCATTCTGTATTAGCTTAAATTTCAGATGTCTAGATTTTTCTCAAATAACCTATAATTTTGCTTAAAAAAAAACCCTGACTTTATGTTTTTCTTATATAGCTATCTGAACATTTCCACCCTTCTGTGGCCCTTTTTGCAAAGACTATCCTTGAGGTAAGTATAAAATACTCTTTAAAATATGTAAATATTATAGGGTTTTTTGAGGGGGAAAGGGGTTAGTTTTTTGTTTTTGTTTTCCTAAGACAGAGCCCTTGGCTGTCCTAGAACTCCATCTGTCTGGGTTAGTCTTGAACTCACAGAGAACCGCCTGCCTTTGAGTGCAGGGTGCCTTCACACCTTACTAACTAAGTATTGTAATTTTTGGTCATGAGTAATTGATGGTACACATTTCCCTGCCATGTAGAATCTGATGTTTTTCTGCTGTTGTTAATACAGAGAACAGAGTTGGTCTCGAGCTGAGATGAATGGACATATAGCACATCAGTAAACAGCAGCTGCTTCTTACAGGCTGGGGAAGCTCGCTGCAGCCTCTGCTACCTGGGTGTGCTTTTTCAGTGTTTGGTTCTTATAATGGTTACATAGTGCCCACTATATTACCTATAAAATCAAAAGTATATCATAAAATAAGTGTTTGTATGTATAGATTTTTAGTGTGGTGTGCAGACAAATATTGTTGATATGTGCCTCAGATGGGAGCAGCTTATGTTTTTCCTGTTTGGATGGATGGGTTATTTTTTATTAAATCCTCTACCACCTTTCAGGGAAATTTTATTCAGTATTCAGGGGACCCACTGCAGGATTTCACACTCATGAGATTCTTGGATCGATTTGTATACCGAAATCCAAAGCTACATAAAGGCAAAGGTAGGCCTCCATTATTTAATGACTATTTGGTTTTTGTTGCTGGGATTTAGTAAGTGAATGAACGTATAACTGCATTCGACCATCATGGTTTATATTTCAGAGAACACCGACAGTGTTGTGATGCAGCCCAAAAGGAAACACTTCATGCACAATGTCCGGGACCTTGCTGGTAAGCACAGAGCCTGCAAGGATAGCATGCGACAGTGCAACACACACTATAGACTGTAACCTATGTTATCATGATAAACAAAGGAAGTTAAATGATAGGCCCTCTGGCAGCCGTTCCCCAGCCTTGGCAGTTCCACCATTCTACCATGCCCATAGCACATAGCTCCTTCAGGACCCAACATGTACAATTCATATCTTGTACAGTTCAGCCCATCTTAAACTCTTCTAACACAAAGTGCACAGCTGGCTCTTTGATGCAGCACCATTGGCAGTGCATTGATGTTTCCCTGTGGACATGTATTTGGTACCAATATTCCAGATCCTGTTCTGCTTCTCTATTCAGAAAGGATATTTCTTTACACATCACATCCCACCTTCATCTTGCTCAAAAATTAAAGTTAGAAGTTTTAGTTATTTCCAGCTAACTTCGCAGAAATCCAGAGATGTCAACAGGATTACTCAGAGGTAATTAGGACTGTAAGACAAACCAAATCTTTAAGTCAAATCAGAAATTGATTTTCTTTAGAAAAAAAGCTAATATCCTTGAATTCTTTATTTTTTAATTTTTTTCAGTATTAAGTAAAATTATGGAAAGTTCTGTTGATGTTTTCATCCTGATTTTAAAATTAAAAGCATAATCGTACTTTTAAGACAACCAGAGTATGCTATAATCCTGCATGTGGGTGGTAGAAGCAGAACTCTTTGAGGGGCTTCAGTGGTTAGCTCAGTTAAGAGTACTTCTCTGGGAGAAGACCCAGCTTTGGTTCCTGGCACCCATGTAGGGTGTCTCACAGGCACCTGTAACCTCACCTCTAGGGAGGTGCAACATGTGTGGCTACTGCCGACACCCACAGTCATGTGTCTTTGCCCACACATGGACATACAAAGAAAATAAATGTTCTAAAATAGTTTGGTTCTCTTTAAACTTGTGTCACCAGTGCAATTGGAGAGAACAATAAAAGAACCTGCTGCTCCTCTGTGGCTGTTCTCTACTCCTGTTCTCCTCGAGGGGGCAGCCAAGAGCTTAGGACACTGAGCCGTCCACACACTTCAGAGGTGTGCTTCATACCTGTGGGCCTCTTACCCAACACTGTCTCGTTTCAAGATTTCAGAGCCATTCAGCAGTGGTGACTCACCACAGCCAGGGCTACGCAGAAAAACCCTTTCAAGAAAAAAAACTAAGCAAAGATTTCAGAACTACCAGTGTGTTAGATACAGTTTGAGCGAATGAGTAACTGGAATGGGTATAATAAAATGCTTCATTCTGCAGTGAATAGTAAAGAGTTCCTTGCAAAAGAAGAAAGCCAGATCCCAGTGGACGAAGTGTTTTTCTACAGGTAAGATTCGTACAACATTCTTTGGTACTACTTAAATGTTTATATTTGGTATACTGCTTTCTTATTTGTTTACATATTTTTTGGTTATTTTATTTCTTTACATTTCAAATGTTGTCCCCCTTCCCAGTCTCCCCTCTGCAAACCTCGCATCCCATCTCCCTTCCCCTTTGTCTCTAAGAGGGTTCTTCCCCACCCACCCACCCCCGCCTCACCGCTCTAGCATCCCCTACGCTGGGGCATCAAGCTAACTCTGACCCTAACTCCTGATCGTTCTGTATATTGCCTAAGTTGACCTCCAACTGTGATCCTCCTGCCTCTGCCTCCCAAACGGTAACTCTTTATTAGTCTTTATCTGTGTTAGTTTAGCATAGTAGTAACTTAGGAGTAATTTGTCCAGACCACGATCATTCAAGCAGAGTGAAGCTGAACTGATTGATCTTTAAAGTCACTACTGATGCTTCTAGTGCCTTGTAATATGGTGTCAGGTTATCTGGTTGGTTAGTTAATTAGGTTTAAATGCTTTAAAAAAAAAAACAGAAAACTTTTACTGTGAATAATTTTATCATGGTGATGTCAGTGGGAAAGTCTTAAGTTTTACTGTGACTTTGGGTGGACTGATAAGTTGTTAGCAATTGTTGGTCATTTAAAACCACCATATTCTAATATTCAGATAAGTAGTGTTAAAGATGAACTAACCTTTTACTATGTAATTATTTTACTGTTGTGTGGGATTAAACTCAGGGCCTTGTTCATGCCAGACAACACTCTACACATCCCCTGAGCTTCTGTGAGGCCATGTAAGATGACTGAAGAAATGGCTTATAAGACACTGTGAAGTCTTGAAAACTTCTACCTCACTTAGAAGTGCTTGGTGGCTCATACCTGTAACCTAGAACTCAGGAGGAAAGGCAGGGATTCTGTGTACAGAGCCAGCCAAGGCTGCATGGAAGACCCTCTAAAGAGTAAAGAAAATTATTGTGCTTCACATTTCAAAAGTTTATCACTATTTTGTTTAACTCAAACACTTTTATATTGAATACAGATTTTACTCATTTGTGTCCATTTGAGTGTCCATAATACAGCTTGAGTTGTAATTAGTCTGTAGTCATAAATTATACAGACATATAATATACATTTTACTTTAGGTATTACAAAAAAGTTGCTGTTGTTAAAGAAAAACAGAAACGCAATGCAGATGAAGAAAGTATAGAAGATGTGGATGACGAAGAGTTTGAAAATATGATTGGTAATTTGTTTTTGCTGACTCAGTTTGTAAGGTCATTACTACTTGTTAATAGACTGTGTACTATTAGTGGTGTGAGTGAACTTAGTGCCATTGATCATTGATCAACCATTAACCTGCAGATTATAGTGGAAATCTATGGTAACTTACTCAGATTTGTTCTAGAAAAATATATAATTGAGCTTTGTATAATATGTAAGACAATTCTGTTTGCAAGAAGAGTGTTTTCATTTTTAAAACCAAGTCTCTGATGATGCAGAGCTGTTTATTTTTCATAATCTCCTTGTCCTAGGAGTAGCAGTGCCTGCTATTTTACCATTTTTCTCTTTATAATCCTTGAGCTTGGGGATTTTTAATTAACTGTAATCAAGTTAAACTACATAAATATGGAAGGGTTGACTTGGCTGTTACTGTTATATCCTAGACTCAGTAGAAAATAAACACTAAGGTTATTTTTCAACAGAAAACTATAGCAGAAATTGAAGTTAACAGACCCCATTTTAAAGATTTCATTGAGCTCATAGGCTTGTATGAGACACACCAGCAGCAGTCCTAATGACAGCATTGTGCTGGTGTGAAATCCTGGTTCTACGTCACAGCTGACTGGGGTATATAATGTATGTTGCTCTTGTCCCTCAGTATCTCTACATTTTTTTATATTGTTCTTGGGCAGACACATTTGAAGATGACAACTGCTTCACGCCTGGAAAGGATGATATTGATTTTGCCAGGTAAAACTCAACTTTCTCTGCACTGTTTCCCAGTATTTCCCAGATTGTTCATCAGAAGAGGGGGAGGCCTAGAAATTAAGCGATTCATAAGAGAAACATGCACTGGGCTTGAATCTTTAGAATGCTTCGAGTTTAGTGTCCTGAGCACACTTTAGAAAACATGGCCTCCTTTACAAGCTTCTCCCCCCCCCCCCCCAACTTCAGCAATATGAAGAAAACAAAAGAAGCTAAGGACAGCTTGGGAGACTCGGAGAGTAGTGACGACGAGCTTGGTGACCTGGATGACGACGAAGTTTCTCTGGGAAGTATGAACGATGAAGACTTTGAAATTGATGAAGATGGAGGGACATTCATGGATGTATCAGATGATGAAATTGAAGATGTTCCAGGTACACATTGAAAAAAAAGTCACATTCTTAGGCTAGGTTTCTATATCTAAAGAACACACATATCAGTATTGAACTAATTTTAGTCAACAGCTTTTCTATCCAGTTCCAGTTGAACTGTCATGTGCCTCTTTGTATCATTTAGTATAAGGGACTGGTAGTGTAGCTCGGTAGTAGAGTACTTCCTAGAATGTGTGAGGTTCAGGGTTAGAGCCTCTGCTATCAAAGAACAAAAGCAATAATGGTGAGCACTTTCTCCAAGAAAAAGCAATATGTATTCATAGTTACCCGGCACCAGTGAGAGAGATGACTGGTGTACGTTATAAGGAGCAGGGCGCCCGCAGCTGAGGATTGGCAGTCTTGTCCTTTGCTTTGCATCGTGCTTCTGGACCTCAGCAGCAGAGTGTTGAAATATTTGTTCTCATTAATGGTCACTGAGTAAACTGTGTTCTTGGGCACACTAGCAGGGACTCTGAGAGATGAGAGTGTCTGTATCCATGGGCCTGGAGGACTACACACACATGGGACAGACAGACCAGGCCTTAATGTTGTACTGACACTGTAGCAAACACTGAATCGGGATTTTCCAGGCATGGTTTAAAATTGTTTAATAGCAAACTTTCTTGGGTAACAGAATTTGCTGAAGCCAGCCCCAAAGCCAGTACTAAGAAAAGCAAGAGGAAGAGTGAAAATGATTTTGACTTTGCTGGGTCGTTTCAAGGTAAGAAAATGCTTGTAATCTCTTCAAACCATAGCAGCTGCCATATGAAGTGCATTATTAATTACTATTTGAGGAAATATGGGGTTTTTGTTTTGTTTTGTTTTTGTTTTTCAAGACAGGGTTTCTCTGTGTAGCCCTGGCTGTCCTGGAACTCACTCTGTAGACCAGGCTGTCCTCGAACTCAGAAATCCACCTGCCTCTGCCTCCCAAGTGCTTAGTGCTGGGATTAAGGGCGTGCGCTACCACTGCCCGGCAGGAAATACGTTTTGAAAAATTGGATTGATACCCTTTAGAATATTTTTCTTAAAGATCAGTCCTCAGGCACCTTGTACCGTTTGTCTGAGACGGGGGTCTCAGGCTCAGGACTTCAGCGTTTAGGCCAGGCTAACTGTTCCATGAGGCTCGAGACACGCACCTGCCCATGCCTGCTTCCTCACTGACATTACAGCCACTACACCCAGGTTTCTACATGGCTGCTGCAGATCTGACTCTGATCATCACACTTGTGGTGTGAGTGTATCAATTAAACCATCTCCCAGCCAAGAAAGGTGCGTTAAGAGTTAAAACATCAGAGCTCTTAAATGTGCAGAGAGTTCTCACATCCACCTTAGTTTTCATTGTCCCAAGCCCCACCCTCGCACATTTAAGTATTTCTAGATGATCTATCTCTTCAGTCATGTTTCAAGAGTCCAATTACATGTGAACCCTACCTTACCACTTTAATCTTCCTGAAATGTCTACAGATTCAAACTATAGGTAAGTTTTTAATAGACATTTTATTTTCAGTAGCACAAATATAAGTTTATTGAAAATACAATAAACATTCTTCAGTCAGATTTTTCAAGCCCAAAAAATAAGACCTGAATTACGATTTATATTTTGTTTCACATATTACAAACTCCATCCATGTCAGCTGTGGAATTTTAATCCTGAGTGATACTGTTGGTTTCTTGTAAAGATAAACATTGACTGGGGACCAAATCTGAAAAATAAGTACACACTTTGAGTAACACACATATTTTTTTTAAGGGCAAAAGAAAAAGAAGAAAAGTTTCAATGACTCCAGCCTATTTGTCTCTGCTGAGGAGGTAAGGCTAAAGTTCTGACTTAAGAAAGTAGCTACTTAAATTCTTTTCAAGTTTCCTAATGACGTCCTCCACCCTTCTTTTCTTTTTCTAAGTTTGGCCATCTGTTGGATGAAAATATGGGCTCCAAGTTTGACACTATCGGCATGAACGCCATGGCTAACAAAGATAATGCAAGTAAGTCAACTGATGCTGTTGGTTTGGTTTGGTTCTAAGGCAGGGTCATACATAGCCCAGGCTGGCCTTGAGGCAGGTTCTTACGTAGCCCAGGCTGGCCTTGAGCTCTTGCTCCTCCTCCCCCCAAGCAGTATAATTACAAGTGTGCACTACCAGGTCACCTTGTGTCATTCAAGTTTTTAAATGGTACTTCCCTGAAGATGTCCTTAAGTGGCAGAAAGCTTGTCTGTCACATAGCAAGGCCCAAACATGGTTTTTCTTCAAGAGTCTATTTTATTTAGACTTGGCTAAAGGTGTACTCTTACATGCATGAAAACTTTGTAATTATTCCTAATGCTGTAATCACTAGTTTCTAGTCTTTCATAAAATAGAAAAGAAAAATATTTCCAGCATAAATCCTTCTATATTTTCATTTTTACAATCCTTGTCTAGACAGAAGAACAAACATTGGAAATGAATAGTGGCCAGGACACTGCAGGCCTCGTGGCCCAAATGCAGTTCCAGTGAGGGAGTTTTTATGCGGGTCACAGACTAATCTGTCTTCTTCCCTCAAAGGTTTCAAACAGCTCAAGTGGGAAGCAGAGCGAGATGACTGGCTGCACAACAGAGATGTGAAGAGTATCATCAAGAAGAAGAAACAGTTCAGGAAGAAGATGAAAGCCACGCAGAAACCCAAAAGGCAAAGGAAGTGACAGCTTCAAAGGGATAATAAACTAGGATTATACTTACCCTTAACTTTTGCTTTCCAACCATTTCTGCTGATCTTTCTCTCTAATGCCATGCATTCCAGACTGTTCCATGGATTTGTAATAAACTGTGGAAACACGGTGCCGTCATGTATGAAATTATGCAAAAGTTAAACTTTCAGTGAAAAAGTTCTTCATGTTGCTACATAACAATGAAAGGGACAGCAGGGCTGTCCATGCGTGAGCTGTGACCACTATCCTAACCACTGTGATGAGCCGCTTGTCAGGGTGCCGGGTGCCATGCTTAGGCTAAGTACATGATGTCACTGTGGTCAACTCTTAACTGTCAAGGAAGGCATTGGCCCTTCCCCAGAGAAAGCAGCATCTGAGAACATAGTACACCTGAGGAAAACAGTCTTTTATAGCAGTAACTGTGATTTGGGCCATCCTCACCTTAGGTCACACTCTGGAATCTATGTTCTTAACCACTGAAAGAATTAAAGCTCCAGCTTGCAGGGTGGATAGAACTCAGTGATAGAACTTTTGCCCAGTGTTTATATGCCTAAAGGTTGTTCAATAAAAAAGGTAATAAGAATTAAAACAAGAGCTAATTGTTCTCATCTAAGTAATTGGGTGTGAGTCCTTTCTATGTGATCCCAGGAGGCAACTAGTGTTGGAAACCAATAACAGAATAATGCCACTTGCTCTAAAGTTGTTAAAGTACCACAGAATTTATAGGTTATTTTGCACTTGAATTTTTACTTAAAGAAAAACATACCTTCCAAAATGAAGGGAAACGTCTTGCTCATTGTTTGCCTGAAATCTGATATTTAAGAAGAAAAATCACTGTATTAACATTAAGCCACAATTTAGTGTATTAGTGCCTGTTAGCATTTTGTACTAAGCATCTACTAATCCAAGAAGTAAGTAGTATATAAATTACAGCAACTTACAATATAGCCTTTATAGTTTGGTCTTGTTTTTCAAGGCAGGGTTTCTCAGCCCTAGCTATCCTCAAACTCACGTAGATCCGCCTGCCTCTGTCTCCCGAGTGCTGGAAAGGTGTGCACCATCACTACCCAGCAGCCTTTATACTCTTCTTTTTTTTTTTAAGATTTATTTATTTATTTATTTTATTTATGAATACACTGTCGTTGTCTTCGGACACACCAGAATAGGGCATCCAATCTCATTACGGATGGTTGTGAGCCACCATGTGGTTGCTGGGATTTGAACTCATGACCTCTGGAAGAGCAGTCAGTGCTCTTAACCGCTGAGCCATCTCTCCAGCCCCGCCTTTATATTCTTAAATTTACTTTAGATTGTGAACATCCAGTAGCACCCTGGCATAATGTCCTAACGAAGTACTTTGAGGAAGACAAATGACAATCTTCAAAGATAAGTCACTGCCCCAGGGTTGTTCCCTGCTTTAGTTAGAGGAAGAAATAATAATTCCTAATTTTAAAAGTTAAGGACTCTAGTACAAAATTTAACAAATTGTTACACTGTCTTCAGCAATAGCATGGAAAATGGTGTTGCTAAGAATGCCTACTGTTGGTGCTAAGAATGCTGTGACCTGAGGTTGTTCTGAGCAAACAGCGGTGTTAGCTTTTTCTCAGAATACCAAACAAGTATAACAGGCAGGCCAAGGTGCCTGCATCCATTCCTTTCAATTCTGAGCGGATAGGGACAGTTCTATCCTCCCTGGTAAAACCCAGACACTCATACTCTGCAAGTTAAATGTGAGTCACCTATTGTACAATAGCAAACACCTCGCTCCCCTCCTGCCCATAAGAACATCTAATATCTTCAATCTCAAGAAATGTTCTGCCCAGAAATGCCACCAGCATTTAACACATCCCCTGCTAGACAGCAGCTGCTGGACTGTGCTCACCTTGGCTCGAGTCCATCTTCTTAAACAGAAAATAAGCTCCAAAGACACCCACAACCTCAGCGGCTACAACTCCTTTAAAGATCTTCCTTGCCAGGGGTTCCATGGTCCGAGCCATCCTAAATTGAACAACATCCAGCATGTTTGAATTCCTGTTGCCACATCTATAGTGAAAAACTCCATTTCCAGTTTCAATGCTTGTATGAAACAAAAAGTAATATGTATTTAGTTTAGACATTCCTACATACAGTTCCCAATCTCCATGCCTAAGGAATGTGATAAACCACAGAAATTCTGAGAAGGCATAGGCCTTTTTACAAAACCAAACTAGAAGAACTAAGGCTTTTTAGTGTCTGATACAGAATAGGTAAGTAGTTTAGAGAAACTTTTTAGCTGACCTAGGAATTATAATACAATCTAATAGGAACAGCATTCGAAGGCCCTTTTGGAAACTGCCCTGCAAGAGCAAGGTTATTTTGTTAAATTGTACCACACTTCATGCCTTTCCTAGACGGGTGTGAAACCAGACAATAAACTCAGTCTTGTCTTTCAGGCAAATCTCAAGTGTTGGAACACTTCCGAACCATCCCCAAAGCAATGTGCATTCCTAAGCCGTCAGTCCGCTTCCCATTCCCCATATTCTGACTCAGCAAGCCTAGGGTGGCACCCCAGTCACCTCCCCGCTTGAAGTCATTCCAGTTTTTATTCAAAGCCCTGGCCCATGAGGGAGAAGTTAACTGGGTGGTGACCCAGGAAATGGAAAAGCTACAGATAATTGAAATCTTCCCTCCCTGTTGGCAAAAACAAGCCAAGAAAGGGGCTTCGGTGTTGGAGCATGCAAGCGTATTAGCATGAGTAGTAGGTTCGGTTTCCGACAGTCAAAAGGTCTCTTTGAAGGAAGGTTTTACAGCAAATAAGATGTTGACTTGCTAAATGTACAAAAGGTAACCCAGGCTTTATAACTCTGTTTCTCTATAACCCCATATCAAGTAATGAACTACTAATCTTTTTATCGAATATTCTGGTATTTTCCCACTGCTCCGTCCTCAATGGTGAGACAGACAGTTGTATAATGTTCACGGTCAACCAGTCCTTCCCACTGCTTTTACTTCCCTGTCATGGTGTCTAACCATGAAAATAATTAAACACTGTCAGGGTTAGCCTTGGACTGTTACCACGTGTCCCTCTTCCTCCAACGTTACTTTTTCACTTAAATATTGGGAATCATTCCGGGACCAAAAGAAACTATAATTCTCATTTTAAAAAACTAAGCAGATAAAAAAAACTTACATACAACTGGGGATGAGGCAGGAGGGACAGCTGCCTTCCTCAATTCCCAGTACTCTGCTACATCACTGACAGACCTGCTCAATACTAAGTTCTCAAGGCTGTTTTTAAGGTTTCAGGGCCAGGACACAGCACACCTGCCTGCAGCCCGTTCCATAACTTAAGGGATCTGAGTGAAATAGTTTTGATTGGAAGAAAGTGATGCTAAGGTTTCAAACAGTCCAAATAACGCTATTAATAAAACATTTACTCTCTTTAAAACAGATGGACGTGTTACATTCCAAGGCCCTGCGCTTTGGAACTTATCTACTTAATAATAAGGCCCGTTTGTCACCAGGGACACACTGTCCAGACAATGTCCAGACAAGATGGCCCAAGGAAACCATAGATCACGGGGCCTTCTTGCACAGGAGCGGCTGGGGCTGCAGCGCAGGGGAAGCAACCCTGCGTGTCCTCCAGTGTTGACCGGAGGAAGGAAAGTCGGCTGGGCAGGCGGGCGGCGCCGCGCCCTGGGACTGCTGCCCTGCACCGTGCCACCAGCGAGCGGCCAGCCTTCCCCGGGGTCCGGGTCCCAGCATGCGCCGCGGCTCGGCGACCCGGAAACGCTCGCGCCTGCCCCGCGCCCCTGTGCCAGCGGGGCAGTCTCGCTCGAGTGTTCCCCGACCCAAGAATGTCACAGACCCCACGCGCCCTACTGGGGAACCGACGACACAGGACACACAGCAATGTCCTTACCTTGGGCCTCCGCAACGCGACTGCGCACGCGCACGGTCGCAGCGCCACGCCCCGCAGAGGAACCTGATGTCTGTGGGGCGCGGCTGTTTGATACACAAGGTTATCCTGCCTGTGGTCAGACCCAAGTAAAAGAAAGAATTCGCGTTTGAACTCAGGACACCGTCTCCAAACCCTGCACATGAATCCTCCTTTCCCACTCTACCCAAAATGTACCAAAACAGGAACAACTCACCACCAGGGAGTGGCCAGAAAAGTGGGACCTTAAATCGGGGTCAGCCCTTTAGCTAGATCCCTAGACATCTGCACTTTCCTTTGCACGTTGAAGCTGAGAAGCGCTGCCCCTAGGTACTGCGCAATCAATAGTCAAGAAGCGGACTGACCTAAGGGAAGGAAAGACAGGAGAAGGGAAATAGGAATGCTTATGAGGAACCATTTGCATGACAAAACATGGACTGTCAGACTACTTCTCTTTCATTAAAATGTGGTCTGGCCTCAGAAATCCGCCCGCCTCTACCTCCAGGACAGCCAGGGCTGGGGACGGGGGTGGAGGGGTTGGGGGGCGTTGGTAGTTGGCTTGGCTTGGCTTGCTGGTAAGCTAGCTGTGCAACACTTGTGGATTTCGCATCTTCAATGTTCGCTTCCCTGAGAGAGGCACAGCCAAGAACTTCTGGTGTTCCTGTTGTCCCTCCTGCTGACTCGAGCCTCTGCTAGGTCGTGTCATTGCTGTTGCTAACCCGACTGTACCGAACTGGACTGCCAGTGTATCTATCTGTGAAGTGTTTACGAGTAGATCGAGCTGCCACTGCCTGCTGCTAACCTGTAAACTGAACTGCCGATTTCCAGACAACACAGACAGGAGTTGCTCCTAAGAACCTTTCAAAATAGGTCCACCTCCCAGATATCCTTTCTTTCCCACTACCTCTGGTGGATGGTGGATTACAAGGAAGGTTAAAGTGTTTAAGAAACATCATTAAAAATAGGATTTGAAGCCGGGCGGTGGTGGCGCACGCCTTTAATCCCAGCACTTGGGAGGCAGAGGCAGGTGGATTTCTGAGTTCGAGGACAGCCTGGTCAACAGAGTGAGTTCCAGGACAGCCAGGGCTACACAGAGCAACCCTATCTCGAAAAACAAAACAAACAAAAAAAATAGGATTTGAAAAAATTAAAGTTACACTAGGGAGTAGAAGTGTCTAAAAGGATTATATAAGAATTAGGAGGTGTGGCCTTGTTGAAGGAAGTGTGTCACTGGGGGTGTGATCTGAGGTTTCAAAAGCCCACACCAGATCCAGTCTTTCTCTCTGCCTATGGATCAGAAGACTGTAGACTCTCAAGACTCTCAAGACTTCTCCAGCTCCATGCCTGTCTGGGCACCACCACAATCCCCGCCATGATGACGGTGAATTAACCTCTGAAACTGTAAGCCAGCTCCCAATTAAGTGCTTTTTCTTTATGAGTTGCCTTGGTTGTGGTGTCTCTTCAGAGCAATAAAGCAATGACAATAAGACGTGAATCAGCTAGCCATTTTTATTGGTGGACTTTTTGACAAATCCAATGCCATCCAAAAATGGTTTATTTGGTGTCCTTAGAAGACACAACTAAATCAAGAACTTATATGGAGCAATAAAATATATGATAAGCCCATTTTCTTTGTCCACTGTTAATATATCTGCTATGGTTGATAACCCATTAATGGTTGGTAAGAGAGAGAGACACATTTGTAAAACTAATACAAGATGATGCAAAAGCCACCCTGTACTTATAATTTTAAAAAGTATCATTATACCACACATCAAGAAAATGTATGCACAAAAGCATTACAAATGTTTGTTATGAACATTGTCAAAACCATGGGTTTCATGGGATGAAGGACTAAATCGTTACCAGTCCCAGGAATTCTTTCAAAACATTGATACTGACTAAAACAACATCATTTAAATTTCAGAAATAAGATGACTAAATTAAAGCCAAATGATAAACAGATTTTATTACTTCAGACATGTTATCAAGTTACTTATGGTCTCAAAACTGAATTTATTCCAGAACTGGATGAGGAAACAGCCCATACAGATTTAGCATTCACAATGAGTTGCACTCACCAATTAAATGAACTATATTGTCTTTAAGATGAAACTCAACTTAGTAATACAATGTTTCAAATAATAATAAGGTTTCAAATGAAAGTGAAATTGTGGCAATCTCAGATGAAGGAAACCAATTTTCTGCAGTTTGATACATTGACGAAACAGGGCTTTTATGACCAACAAAAAATATGCAGCTTACTTATTTGGTATAAGAATTTGAGGGGCTGGAGAGAGATGGCGAGGCAGTTTAGAGTCCTTGTTTTTCTTGCAGAGGACCTGGGTTCATTTCCCAGCATCCACACAAACATCTGTAATTCTAGTTCCAAGTGATCCAATGTTCTCTTCTACCTCCAAAAGCACCAGATACACATGGTGCACATGCATGCAGTCAGAACATTCAAACACATAAAAATCAATTTAAAAATTAAAGACTTTAAAACAGATTTCAAAATTCCCAGAAAAATAATATCTTGGTAAACTCCCAACTCTATATTCAGTCAATGTAGATATGTTGCCTGTCAATTATAAACAGACTGTATAAAGCTGCAGTCAGCTCTTGCAGGATATTTGATCACAAGATTGTGTTGTTTACTGGAAGAAAACTCTAGTTGTGGTGTGCTCAGCCCTTAGTACACACCTTTCTTTAATCCCTCTGGCTGGAATATAGACATGCCCTTAGTACACACCTTTAATCTCAAACAATGAAGACAAAGTTCGTCTGTAGAAGGAAGCACCTAAGTTTGAAAGTGATGTCTTGCCGGGCAGTGGTGGCACACGCCTTTAATCCCAGCACTTGGGAGACAGAGGTAGGAGGATCTTTGAGTTCGAGGCCAGCCTGGTCTACAGAGTGAGTTCCAGGACAGCCA